TGGGTGCCGTCAGAATTAGATTCCAAAAAGCTAATAAAAACATCCCAATAATCCACCAGTAATCCACACGACTCCAGTCAATCAATTAACATATTGTGAAGTGAAAAGTTGTGTTTGTAAAAAAATAAAATAAATATAAATATATATATATATATATATATATATATATTAATACAAAGGGACATCAAGATTATTTTTCTTACCCCACTGGAATATAATAACCTTTTAGAAAACAAGACTTGATATCTTAAGTCATTTTGCTTCTCAAATAAGTGTGTCTTTTAGGAATGTTTAAATATTTGTACTGGAAAACAAGACAAAAATACTGTGTAAGAAAATCATTTTCTGCTGTGAATGTAATGGATTTGCTGCTCCAAATCCATGATTTTATCACCTGTTTGTTTTGTTGCTTATTTGTTTTATCCTCATCTCTTTTACTTCTTGCGGGTGGGTATATTTGTGCTTTCATCAGTCATCTGAATGCAGTAAAGCATTTATCCAGTCATATTTATCCCCTGAAATCTCAGTTCTGCACACACCTGTCTGACAGCCTTAGGAATGATATGTACTCTTTTGTCAAAGCTTTGCTTCATTGCTCGTCCCACGGATGCAGAACGTTCACGGCAAAGTTCTGAATGCACAAAGGTATCAGTATGAAAGGCTTCCAAGGAGAGAGAGAGGGGTTTTTGCACCAGCATCTCATCCCAATGATGCAGCTCTTCAAATGGAGATCAGTTCTCTGTAGCACACGTGTGGAGCCGCGGAGCTGTTGTGTTTTCATTGGTGGACAGGAATACAGATCAAAGAACAAAGCATGTCTGACCGTACCAACCTTCAAATATGTATTAACATATGGTTACTCACAAGTCCCCAAACACATTGGCAGAATCAAGATAGCATGTTCAGGATTCGTCCTGAAAGTCTTAAATTTAATGCTCTTATTTGTCGATTGCCAACCTCAGAAGGTCAAAGTATGGTTTTATTTTCTGTTCATTTTCAATTTCAGTGAGGTTTGCAGTGTTTGTAACCTTGTTAACAACATTTGGAAAATGCAAATAAAACAAATATTAGATGAAAATCTTCAACTTCAAAACTTAGAAAACAAAAATTAGAAATGTTGCCTTGGCAATTAACTTAAGTTTAAGCTGAAGTACTAAAATGACTAAAACGAATAATAAAAGAGCTGAAGATAATTATAAAAAAATCTAATAAAAAGTACAAAAGCACATAAAATTCATTAAAAAAAAAAAAAA